GTTCTTACCCATGAAAGCTTATGCTCCCAATACTTCTGTTAGTCTTAAAGGTGCCACAGGACCCTCTGTTGCTTTTTATTGAACTAACTTTTGTTGGTGAGAGACACCAAGCTTTCCAGCTACACAGAACTCCTCTTCAGGTCTGGGAAAGGTACTCTGAGCATCACAGCTAAATGCAAGGTGGTGGAAAGGATTGTTTAGCTTTAAGTAGTTAACACATATTCAAGGTAGAATAGTTCTTTAGAAGGTTTCAGAGTAGCAGAACAATCCTTTCCACCTTGCATTTAGTTCAGAGTACCTTTCCCAGACCTGAAGAGGAGCTCCGTGCGTCTAGAAAGCATCTCTCTCACCAACAGAAGCTGGTCCAATAAAGGATATTACCTTGCCCACCTTATCTCTGTAGTGAGTATTGTTAGTCCTTATTGCAAATCTACCAAACAAATTTGAAATAAGTGGAAGTGTAATGCAAATCTATTAATACTTCTAACCCACCATCCTCCTGACATAAAACATTTTGTGCCTGCCAATAACATTGCTCTTCCAGTAAACAGAGTTCTAGTGCCCTAGAGTATTTTCTCTCCCGCAGGTGGGCTGGTTCTAGCCCACAGTAGGCAGGAATCCTTTCTGTAATACAAGACCCAAATTTCTTGGTCAAGGTATAGTCAAGATCCAGACTCTAGAGAAACATTTTTTCACACCACAACAATGATAATAAGTGAATAAAGAGGTTTCACAACCCAATCGCTCCAAAGCATCTGGCAATCATGCCCACGGTCTGCCTACTGCAGGGGTGGGCAAATTTTCTGGCCCAAAGGCCACATCTGGGTATGGAAATTGTATGGTGGCCCATAAACGCTCACGAGATTGGGGTGTGGGAGGGGGCGAGGGCTCCAGAGTAGGGCCAAAAACAAGGAGCTCAGGTTGTGGGAGAGGGTTCTGGGCTGGGGCAGAGGATTGGGGTGCATGGGTGGGGGTGAAAGCTCTGGCTGGGGATGCAGGCTCTGGGGTGGGGGATGAGCGGTTTGGGGTGCAGGAGAGTGCTCCAGGCTGGGACTGAGGGGTTCAGAGGGCAGATGGGGGGGGGGGGGGGGGACGCGGGGGGGGGGAGGCCCCGGGTGGCGCTTACCTCAAGCAGCTCACGGAAGCAGCGGCATGTCCCCCCTCCATATCCTATGCAGAGGGGCAGCCAGGTGGCTCTGTGCGCTGCCCGTTCGCAGGCACCACCCCTGCAGCTCCCATTGGCCATGGTTCCAGGCTAGCCCCGCGCCATGGTTCTAGGCCAATGGGAACTGCAAGGGCAGCATGCAGAGGCCCTAGCTACTCCTACGCGTAGGAGACGGAGGGGAGCCGTGCTGCTGCTTCCCCAAGCCATACAGAACCATGGCACACACAGAGCGGGGCAAGCCCCGACCCCGCTCCCAGGCTACAGCAGGGCAAGCCCCGAATCCTACTCCCCGGTGGGACCTGGAGGGCCAGATTAAAATGTCTGAAGGTCCGGATGCGGCCCCCGGGCCGTAGTTTGCCCACCCCTGGCCTACTGACTACCCCTGCTGTACAAAGAGCCACAAAGCCAGGCCCCCCCCATTAACCTTCCCCCACATCGTACAGACACCACAAGCAAGGGGGTGGATACTGCAGACCTTCCCCACAACAAAGGGCGTGAGGGACCCTATGCGTACAGTGCTTTGACGGGCTGAGGGACCAGGAGAGTCCCAGGACTGCAGGCAGCTCCTCCGGGAATCTTGTGTACAGGCCGCGCCACGCCCTGTGTTGGAGCACGGGGCAAACACGTGCTACAAGTTACAACCAGCCGCCCTTCAAGGGACCAAGAACCAAGGGGGAGCTGTGCCACGAGCAGCCCCAGCCCCAACCCCGGCCGCTCCGCAGGGCACCATCCCCACCCCGAGCCCTCACCTTGGGCGTGTGCGGTGTGTCGAACAGGCGCAACTTGCGGAAGGTCTTGTGGGGCGGGGTGCCGGGGCACTCGGGCAGGGGGGAGCGGGGCTCCTCGCTGCGGACCCGGTACCCGCCTGCAGTGAAATGCGTCGGCGACTCCCCGCAACACCGGCGGCCCTTGAGTGGCGGCGAGGGCGAGCCAGCCATGAAGTAGGCTCCGGGCGACTTGACCGGGGACGAGCCGAAGCCCTCCTCCTCCCATGAGTCCTCCTCATCCCCGGGCAGCGCCGACACCGCCGGCTCCATCTCCTCCTCTTCCAGCGGCGGCGGCTCGCCCCGCGCCGGGGTGCGGGCTGCCGAGAGTGGCGAGTCCGCCTCCTGGAAGGCTGAGTCCTCGCCGGTGCTGTTGCCGCTGCTACCCCCTTCCTCCTCGTCGTCGTCCTCGTCGCTGCCGGCTGGGAACAGCAGCTTCTGCCGGATCGGGGCGTCCGCCGGCCGGACCGAGAGGCGCCGCGGCGCGGCCTGTAGCCGGCTCACAGAGCTCATGGCGGGACCACGACTCCGGACCGCTCCCAGCTCCGTACGGGCCCCGCTCACGGGGAGACGCGCCCCCCGACACCCTGGCTCCCTGCCGGCCGCTCCCACGCCGAAGGCCCCGCGCTGGCCGCTCCCCGGCTCTGCCACTATTGGCGCTGAATAGGCGCCACTCCAGGCTCCTCCTGGCCCCGCAGCAATTCAGGCTCCGCGCGGACCCACTCGCTAGCGCTGCCCAGGGTAGCCCAGCTCTTGCCGTTCAGACTCCGCGGCTTTCCCGCGACCGTTAGTCTCGTGGCCCCTACGCCAGCCAATCACACACGCCCACTCAGTTTGAAAACAAGGAAGATGGAGGCCGGCCCACGCAGAAAATACGTCATACGTTCGTTTGGCGCGAATGGGGAGCTGGAAAGGGCGGGGCTGGAGAAGTACCGTTGGGAGTGTGGGGTGGAGACTAGAGAGGTTAGTGGGCGGCTGCGCGGGCACGGAGGCGCTCCAGGCGGTAGCCAGGTGCCTCGGTTCCGGCGAGCGGCTGGAGGCGGGGGTGCCGCAGCGGGCGGAGATGGCTCTGGGGTAGAGCGAACAGCGGTCTGACCCGGGACCGCGTCACCAGAGCTGCTCCTCCGACCGCACCATCCCCGCTCGACCGCTGCGGGAGGAGAGAGGGGCGGGCCCCTCGCCCCGGGCGGCACCGTTCCCTCCAGGCGCCTGTAGGAAAGGGGCTTGTTGCCGGGCGTGGGAGCGCAGGGTGGCCGGGCAGGCTGCCGTGCTCCTCCAGCGCCGCTGGGATACTGCGCTAGTTCTCCCATCTCACAACCCCGCGCCTCAAGCGGGAACTGTCCCTTTAACTGAACAACACGTAGCAGTCAGGGAGTGGAAAGCAGCTCTGCTCTCGCGCTGGAGGCGGGGCACAGCCCAGGCCGGCCGCCTTCACGCCACTATCCCCGCTGCACACACAGTTCATTGCGGTGGTGCCACTGTGAACAGAGGCGTTACGTGCTGCTGTGCTATGCCCTCCTCCCCTAGCGCCCTGTTTAAAGGAATCCGTTTGCACTGCAGTGGGTTGAGTCCGTCGCAATTGCAAGGAGGAGACGAGATGCGCACACTCTGGTAGGAGGCCTCCAGCCGGCCAAACCTGCATGTCTCACGGGAGGGCAAACAAAAAAATTGATTGCTCACTCCCCTTTTCTAGAGATCGCTTCCAAGTGAGCTTTTCAGCTCTATGCACATGTGGCACGATCGTAAGTCGAAGTATGACAGACTCCCCCCAATGTAAAAAGCCACTTTGCTGATTGCCGTTAGCGGCGGGGAGTTTCATCTCTGCCTCCTTAAGAACAAAGACAGTGTATGAGCCCCCTTAATTCTTCGTTTAAAGTCTATCACAACGAGACTGCTTGTAAAGACTGGCAGGGTTGAGAAGGCTAAAATCTAAGCAGATTTTTAAAAAAATGCTTCTCTTATCTTGGGAGATTTCTTAATACTAGAAGAAGAAACGGAACATTGACGCTAGATCATCTTTTCTACTAACACTCGAAATCAACAAATCCAATATACTAGTTTCCCGCCCAAGTAGGGTGACCAGGCAGCAAATGTGAAAAATCAGGAGGGGGGTGGAGGGTAATAGGATAGGAGCCTATATAAGAAAAAGACCCCAAAATCAGGACTGTCCCTATAAAATCAGGACACCTGGTCACCCTATGCCCAAGATATGTATATTTGGTTGACATATACATTGCTAATTTTTGTGATGGGGATTTCAGGTCCAGAAGTAGTGATTTTTTTTGTGTTTGTTTTTTTATATGGAGATATACCTATCTCCTAGAACTGGAAGGGACCCTGAAAGGTCATCGAGTCCAGCCCCCTGCCTTCACTAGCAGAACCAAGTACTGATTTTGCCCCAGATCCCTTAGTGGCCCCCTCAAGGATTTGAGCTCACAACCCTGGGTTTAGCAGGCCAATGCTCAAACCACTGAGCTATCCCTCTGTGTTTTGTTTCAGCACAGAGTAAGTATGTGTATTGTTTTATAGCAAAATGTCCCACATTAAAAAAAACATAATTGCTAGATGTTCAGCTGTGCAAAATGGTACAGAGTGCTTAAGTACAAGTGGAATAGACATAGTCTGTTAAATACTCAAACAGTTTTATGGTCCTATGAGACAAGATGTGAAACTAGAGAGTGGTCTGAGAGCAAGTGAGATGTAACAATCTCATGTTAAAAAAAAATAGTTTGCAGTAAAAAGAAGCACCCTTTTAAACAAATGATTTGTAAACTATTCTCATGATATTTGACACCTGATTCATGAATTTTGAACATTTGAGGCTGGCAATACAGCAGAGCCACTCAACCCATTTCCACTTGTGGCATAAGTAAACCTTTGAATGAAGGATGCCTATCAGGGAGGGAAAGTGCTAGGCTTGTGCCCTGTTTTGCTCTTTAGAGATGCATAATGGAGGGCTAGTGGCTCTTAGCCCAATTTAAAAAAAAATCCATTTTTTTAAAAGTATTTAAGCTTGACCATTTAAAGAAATGCAAATTACTTTGATTTATAAATATTGCAAACCTCCCAGAACACTGGAACATCAGGCACAGTATTCTGATTGGTTGCCTGGCAGCCCTCATTTAGTAAGAACTTCTTACTCATTAACTAAAAAATCACCTCACAATGAATGTGTTATATACTCTGCATTCCATTTGACAGACACTGACCTCTCTATGACCGCTTTGACTTTGGCCCTCCACTTCATCTCTATCAGCCCTTGCTGGACTGATAATGCAATCAAGTATCTGTCCTTTATCACTTAATCAAATTATATTAACTAAAACTAATCTTTTGAGCAAAGCTGTACTGACCAACTTTGTTTTCCCAGTCAGCGAGAGCTAGAATAATCCAGAGCTGGCTCCATCTAGGTCCCATGACCTATCATCAACTTCTCCTTATTTTCAAGACAATACACATTTCTTCCCCCCATCCTTTGTGTTGAAGAGTCATTCTGTGGCTGATGCTAATGGCTAGAGTTGCTGTCACAGTCCTAGTGCCCCTGCATCCTTCTGGTAAGGTGAAAAGCATACAGAATTTATCTAGCAGCGGATCTTCTGGCCCTTATCCAGTTCCACATGATAGCATGTAGACAGCCCCCATTAGAACTGATGTTTGTCTGTGCTTTTTACGCCTTGAGTGGCATCCCCAAATCCTGCTTTCTTTATCCCTGGAGGAACAAAATCAAACCTATTCTGCTGCATGAGGGATCTCTGCACCCAGAGAAATAGGGGCAGGAGTTGCTTCTAAAAGTTTAGGAGACAATGAATTAAACACACCAAACCCAGCCTACAGAGAAAAGGGAAATTAAAATGTGTACTTATCCAGATGCTCCAGTTGTTTGCTGTTTGATAGGATTCCTGGCAATGGTGGATCCTAGTAACAGAAACCTTAACTTAAAACCATAAACTTTAAACACTTTTCTACCTCTCATTTTCACGTTTTTATAAGCCTAACTAAATACTGTCCTTACCCTCTTCCTCCCAAAGAGCCATTTCACTGGTACATTGGAGCCGGCTCCTTTAACAACTCTTCCTCATCCTGTTTCCCCTTCCCTCTGCCACACCAACTGGGGGTGCCATTGTTAGCTTTGCCATATAAGTGGGGACATAGAGAGAGCAATGGAAGGCTTTGCCCTGACTTCCCCATCTGGAAGCCACCACCATTTCTCCTGGCTTCCCTGTGAAAGGAAAGTTAACGGCTGTTTAATCTCCTAGGTAAGAGCCACGGCCACTGCAAGAACGGGATTGTCTGCTGGCTCTACTGCCTCACAAGCTCTCGAAAGCCAGATAACACTTGCCATGGTCTTTACTGGGTCTGTTCACAGAAATGGGATAGCCATTGTCACCTCTCCTGGGACTGTCACTCTTGGCACCCTCTTCTCACACACACAGGAATATTCTCCTAAATGCATCTCTTACCACCACTCTTTTCAGCAGTTAGGGAATTCAACTACATTACTTGTAAGTAGTTTTCTATTTTACCAATTATCATTTTGCCTTTCACTAGGTTAGGAGCTGGTGATATAGAGCGAGGTGGTTTGAGGAAGATATCTTAGGCCTTGTCTACACTGGTACTTTACAGTGCTGTAACTTTCTCGCTTCAGGGTGTGAAAACACACACACACCCCCCGAGCGTTGCAAGTTTCAGCGCTGTAAAGTGGCAGTGGTAGACTGCACCAGTGCTGGGAGCTACTCCCCTCGCAGGGGTGGTGCCGCAACTACACAGCCACATTAAAGCACTGCCGTGGCACCGCTTTAATGTTGGTAGTGAAGACATACCCTTAGGGTGTGAGTTTCTCCAACTGTACATGAGTGTCTTTGGTTACTTTCACCACAGCTCTCCCTAACAGCAAGAGACCTCCACCACAGACCTACCAGCTTCCCTCCCTCCTTCCCCATGCACTCTCTCTTTCATGTAGTCTAGTCCCACCCATTTCAGTTTCACCTCACCTCAGTAGGCCCCCTATCAGACCCCTGCCCCTGCTCTGCTTGGCTTCCCACTTTTGGGTTGACATACTCACATTGGCTGCCATTTCCTGTCTCAGGCCCCTCTCCCACTGCAGCCCCTCCTGGTTTGGCCTGACCTGATCTTAATAAGCAGCCACTCTTGGGGATTAGCTCTAAACTATGTGCAGCAAGTGTTGCTGCCTTCCCTGCAGCTTCCCCCTCAGCAGAGGCAGCCAACAAGTGGGAGGTGGGAAGACTTACTATAGCACCAACTACTGGCTGGAGTGGTGCTTTGCAGGAAGCCGCTCCAGCAGTAGGGAGCAGGCCCAGAGAGGCACCATATACAAGCACAACCTTTGAATGCCCCAAGGATGCACCTACGCACAGTGAAAAATTTAAAAGCCTGAGATTTCCATCTTGCCTGCACCCTGCAGTTCTGTCCCCAAGGTTTCCCTTTACTATGTGACAAAAAATAGCATAAAGAAAATGTGTCTTTTTAAAACCAGGAACATAGTATATTCCCTGACTTTAAATGATCGGACAACAGCAGATCTCAAAGGCTCAAGAACTCTTTTTTTCTAAACAGGACCTATCCTGTGCTATGTATCTGTCCATATCCAGGTTCTCATTGGGCGCCTATCAGCGTAGGGTCTGAGCCCCTATTCCTCTTCTATTCAGTATCACCTGTGATTTTGGAGGCCTGAGATCCCACAAAAGTTGGTGGTGAGGCCAGTGTATCCTAGGACCAGCGCTGGTCAATGTGCATCACTTCTTTCTTCCTTCTCTTTTCTAAGAGTGCTCGCACCTTTCTTCTGTTTCTTCTTTTCCTTCAATTACTGTTTCTTCTCTCTAGAGATGTTCTGAACCTCTCCCCTTTGGGCCAAAACAACTGCCACTAACTGCCAACTCCAAGAACAGAGGCTTCCCATTGGAGCATCAGTTTGTCAATCAACCAACTCAGGGAGTGGGACTCTTTCTTTCCCATGCAGAGCTGCACACGTCAAACGAAAGGTATGATTTTTTTTCACCCGTTTAGGTAAACGGGTGAACTTTGTGCAGAGCACCATTATATCAGTTTTAGAGCATTTTAAAGTAGCTCATCGTATGCCATTTTGTAACTGACATAAACTAAACCAATTTAAGACATTGAAACCAATTTAAGTGTGTTCATATTAGGGAGGAAGTCACTTCAATTTAATTAAATAGTTTTAGAAACTGATTTAGTTAAATGGCGCACAAAATGTGTGTAGACAAGGCCTCTTTTGCCAGCAAAGCAGATAAATCTACTAGGATAGGGCGAGCAGACAGCAAGTGTGAAAAACTGGGACAGGGGGTGGGGGGTAATAGGAGCGTATATAAGAAAAAGTCCAAAAAATCAGGACTGTCCCGGGACATCTGGTCACCCTACATTAGGATATGAGAGGGTAATTATTCCTTTTGTAAGTCATAAACAGGAACACTTCCACAAAATATCAAACTTTTACATACTTCTCATGTTCTTTAGTGTGCTTAGAGTTGAAGTCTCCTTTTATTTACCAAAAGGCACAGTACAGGTGGTGTCAAACCAGAGAGAGCCTCCAGAGGACAATCTTTAGAAGATGGAAACTTTGGGCTAATATGAAGGTAAACTATCAACAACAACAAAATAAAAATGGCCTGTTAATATATATATTTAAAGTACTATTAAAAGGGCAAATCCTGTACTAGGAAGTGAGGTAACATTGTCTCCATTCATTAGGCCATTAGTTTAATCTGTTCTTGATATGTGGGGGGTATTGGGTGCCCATATTTGTGTTTAAAACAGCCTACCTTCCTGCCTACAGCTCCTATGCCACATCCCCCTGTAGCTAGCATAAGGGGCCTGATGATCCCTGGCTGCTGGAGTGTCCTTTTGGGGCTGCTGGCACTGGTGCGAATTGGAGCATGTTAATGGTCCCAAGATGAGGGGGGGGGGGTTCAAAGGTGGTTTACAGCCACCTGTGTACTGACCCCAAACTCCTAACTTGTATCAAGTGTTCCTTAGCCAGATCCCAGGATCCAACCCAACATATTTACATTCCCTTATGACTGTAGATCAGTGAATGCATTTATTAATTTATTTGGAAAGCATTCACTTATTCATTTGTTTCTTTGCCAAGCAAAGAATCTCATCTTCTAATTTTCACTGACAATGATTTTTTTTTGTTTTTGTTTTGTGTAAATTGTGAGAAATGTAACCATTTTCCAAAGTTCTGTTTCACTAAGACAAGAATTATTTGATCAAATAAAAAAAACCCACTGAAAATCGACACACTTCTTGCTTCAGTTTCCCATCCTGTTTCTGCCCATCCTGTTAGTATTACCTTCTCAAAGTAAAAGGAGGTTTTAAAAGATAATCTATATTAACTGCTAAGAAACCATTAGCAGTATTGGATTAAACAGCTTTTAAATCATCACAATACTGGATAAAACAAAGATTGATATAAACAATAACATCTTGGTAAATTCCGTTCCGCATGCTTCCTAGATCATGGGTTTGCTGTCATTACTAAGAAGTTTGCTCATCCACTTTAACAGTTCAGGCCACAAGCATGATCTTATGCTCTAAGATTTTCCCCCATAGAGAATGCAGAAAAACCTGTAACTGCAAACAAAGAAGTGAAGAGTTCGTCAAATGGGTGTAAAACACAAGCTCTTTGAATTTTTGGATGTCAGAGTGAAAAAAACAACAATATGCTTAAATAGAACAGCATTGTTTCTCCATATGATACCTTTGTTAAATTGAAGAATCTCATTAAAAGTCTTGTATTTTTCTTTCCCATTCTTTATTCATGCTTCAGTCAACAAAGACTGTTCTTGCCACAAATAGCCAGTGCATTGTGTTAAAATGGTGCGAAATTACACTGTAATAACTTTGAACAAGATATTCAAATTCACTTTACAGAAAAGGTCTGACCATCATGACTCACAAGGGCCAACGGAAAGGGCAAGTCATGTAGGCTCTTTTTTGAGGGAGAAATAAAAAATAGGAGGCTCAGTGCAGATCTTTGTGCAGAGGCCAAACACCTAGCCCATATGCCAGCTCTTACCTGCGTGACATTTTCAGATTCAGCAGAATTTAAGTTTTTGATTAAAATAAGAAATAAGTTTATAGCCCTCACAATTGCAAAGTTCCCCTTCCAAATTTGGCCCAAGTGTAACCAATAGTGTTGCCTTCCTGAGTCTGCAGGAAGTCTGGAATAATAGCTTGTAGAGGTGTAAATGGCCTCATACCCCATTAATCCATTGAGGTATTTTTACTTTAAAGCCTAATAACAATACTTTAATGTAAGCATTAACTGTTTAATTGCTGACTAGCAGAGGGAATGTGGTGAATAATTGGCAATTGCTGCAGGAAAAATAGAGGGGAGACCCAAAAAAATATGGATGAGTGAGAGGGAAAAGAAAGAATGGTGAGAAAGGAAGAGAAATAAAGGGGAAAAATAGCAGTGGTCCTAAAAGAAAGCTTATTTTTCCACTGAGTGAGGCTGAATGAGACAATGATGTACTAACCAAATAATGATAATGGAAGGTTTGTTACTACATGTTAGTCATATATAGACACTCTGTACTTTGTGCAGACCTCCCCTCCCAGTGAGACTCAGGAGACTATGTAGTCCTACATTTATATACCTTGCCCCATTAATCATAATTAAAAATGGAATTTGACCATCTCCACAGAATAAGTTTTGACACTCTTGCTCTAGAGGATAGATTCCACATCAAAAAAGCTACTTCCACAGTTTGCACCCCTGTTGACAGCTTCAGCAAAGGCACCATAGAGTGAATGGCCTAAACCAATGGTTTTCAAACTTTTTTTCTGGCAACCCAGTTGAAGAAAATTGTTGATGCCCGTGACCCAATGGAGCTGGGGATGAGGGGTTTGGGGTACGGGAGGGACTGAGGTCTGGGGCAGAGGGTTGGGGTATGGGAGGGGGTCAGGGCTCTGGGCTGGGGGTGCAGGCTCTGGGATGGTAGCAGGGATGAGGGGTTTGGGGTGCAGGAGGGGGCTCTGGGTTTGGGGGGGCTCAGGGCTGGGGCAGGGGGTTGGGGTGCAACAGGGGGTCAGGGTTCTGGGCTGGGGGTGCAGGCTCTGGGGTGGGGCTAGGGGTGCAAGAAGGGGCTCTGGGTTAGGGGGAGCTCACAGCTGGGTCAGGGGATTGGGGCACGGGCTTACCTCAGGCGGCTCCTGGTCAGCGGCGCAGCAGGGGTACTAAGGCAGGCTTCCTGCCTATCCTGGCACCGCGGACTGCGCTGTGCCCCAGAAGTGGCCAGCAGCAGATCTGGCTCCTAGGTGGAGGTGCACAAGCAGATCTGTGCGGCTCTCACCCACAGGTACAGCCTCCCCACCCCCAGCTCCCATTGGCCAGCAGAGCCAGTGCTCGGGGTGGGGGCAGCACACAGAGCCCCGTGGCCTCACCAGCTAGGAACCAGACCTGCTGCTGGCTGCTTCTGGGGCTCAGCATGATGTCAGAACAGTTAGGGACTAGCCTGCCTTAGCCAGGCAGCGCCGCCAATGGGACTTTTAATGGCCTGGTTGGCAGTGCTGACCAGAACTGCCGCAACCCAGTGCCTTACATTCCAGGTTGCAACCCACAGTTTGAAAACCACTGGCCTAAACCATGGAGATTGTCTGAAGGTCATTGTGAGCTGGAGGCAGTGCTGGGGAAGCTTGCACTGTGTTGTGCTTAGTGGACCAAACTGATCCCAAATTCAGTGAACCCAATTAAATAAATTACCCCCAGATAAATTGAGCTTTTTGGCCTTGAGGATCTTGCAGTCTAAGGCCCCAGTCCTGCAAACAGATGCACTATTAGTGTTGACCTTTATGTTCATGCAGTGTCCCACTGAAGTTCACAGGATTCCAGTAGTGTAAGGGTCTGCACCAATGCATCTATTTGCAGGATCAGGGCCTATGTTTTTGCATATAAGTTTAAATCAATTTTAAAAAATAAAACAATATTGGAGCATGGAAGCCTTAATAACCAGACATGCGTCTCTGGGCCTCCACAGACCTGCTGACAAATGCGTGCTTTTAATTATAGGTTTTGAAGCTCAAAGGGAAAACTTTGTTACTTCCTTCTGTGGGTAGAAGAGGAACCCTAATGATGCCAAAAGGGAAGGGAAATATGTGAAAAAATTATTTGTGCTGTAGGGGGAAACTGACACAGAAGTGGGTGTGGTGCCATCTTGTCAAGGTTTTCTGCATTTACAAGATCAGCCACTGTCCCTAAAACCACTTATGGCTAAATTAGGGGAGCTCAACCAAGGTTTGGATGGTGTCCAGTCCACAGCAGCCAACATGGACTTAAAACTGGTTAAACTGGTGAGAAAAATAAACAGCTTCCAAAAAAGAACAGCTGGAGAGCCAAATTGCACAAGTGAGAATCAGAAGCAAGTAGAGGAAAGCAGGACAACTCTCAATCCTGATGACTAATGTAATGAAAGAAAATAAAACAAAATGCTATGCTTTATAGTGGTTATGCTTGAAAAGCAAGTTAAGATGCATAATCTAAACAGCTGCGTGACATTTTACACATTGCTATAAGCGATGACCCTGTTTTCATTGAGCAATAGACTACTCTGTCATAACCACGCAGCCTTGACTAGAATTACTGATGTTTCAGATAAAATCTGAACCCTACAAGCTGTGCAGAAAAGCGCACACTGTGTAATAGCAGCAAAATTCTTATTTTTCCAGATCTTGATCATAGACTGCTCTAATTTATTCCAAGTATTGGCCCAACCCTGCAATCAAACAACTATTAAGATAGCTTAAAGAAATCCTCACCTCTCCCTCTGTCTTGCACCAAACACAGCTCACATAGACAAGAAGATCTGGCCTTCTGACTCACAAGTTCTTGGTGCTGAAACTTAAACAGCTTCAGACAGAATTCCACCCATTTGGAATGTGCTGAGTATAGAGAAGGCTTCTAACTTTCACAGAAATCCTTAATATTACTCAGTACTGTAGTACAAAATAATTATATGGTGGTTGAGATTTTCTAGTAGTTTTATAAAGCCTTTATTTTTTACCTTTATGCATCTTAAGATCTGATCCTGTCACTCTTACTCATATGAGGAGTCAACATGAAGTCAAGATAAAAGTGAGTAAGAATAATTGAAAAGAATTATTGCTCTAACATCAACAAATACTGTGACTATAATATAGAGTTAAGATGCTTTATTCCTTTTTTAAATGATTATGGTTATAATGATTTAACATAAATGGAAATCAGCATTTTGTATCGGTAATTAAAAATTATTAAACAATTTCCCAATACAAGCTAAACAAATCTAAGCATTCACAGTAATTATTTCACTAGCTGTTAGTAATAATTTTTCTTAGTGTATGTAAAACCCTAAATAATTCCTCTATCTTCTTGGGGTTTTCACTATTATTATGTTTGTCCCTTTAGCCGTATCTTATACATACTATACGGATTGAAGGCCAGATTTTTAAAGGTATAGGTACAGATAGGTGTCTAGTAGGATTTTCAAAAGTGCCCAGGCACCTAACTCCCACTGAAATCAATAGGAGTTAGACACCTAGGCACTGCTGAAAATCCCCCAAGCTCATATCTGCATCTTTAGATGCCTAAATATGTTTACAAATTTGGCCCTTAGGTCTTCTAATCTTTGCTCACAAGTCAGTCCCTTTCCCAATAACTTTGTTGCAATTCTCTGAACTCCGTCCAATTTGTCAATAAGGAGGGGACCAGAAAGGAATGCAATAGTCCAGATAGGTGTAGTCACACCAAAAAGGGGCCTATTTCCTCCCTCCTTCATGACATAACACTTCTGCATAAGCAGCTCAGAACTGCATTAGTCTTTTAGGCTGCCATATCATATGCAAACTCATCACATTGCCTAGTCATTATCACTTCTAGATTTTCTTTTTAAAATTACCATTCCAAGTTTCTCCTTCCCATTGAATATCTGTGCTTCAGATTATTTTTCCTTAGATGTACTAATCTGAATATCATTTTATGTTCTGGGTATGCTTCTAACATAAGTACCTTTGTATTATGTCCCTGTCCTGAATGGCATTTGCAATTCTTCCCATTTCATATCTGTGAATTTTGTTAGCACGCTGTTTACCATCTGTTCTAGATCTTGAATCCTGGGTCATGCTGTTCTGGGCATTAGTATTCAAAACAAGGAACAAAAATCAATGTCCTGTATAGTAAAGAAAGTACAAATTCTATTTTTAAATTCTAAATTGTAGCAGGATGAAATCCAAAATACATACAACAGAGGGTCATATCATATAATTTATTATTGAATATTTTATATTTATCTTATAGTAGTACCCAGAAACTGCAACAGAGTTCATGGTTCCATTGTACTAGGCATAGTAAAAACACATAGGAAAACATGGGGCCCAGATCCTCAGCTGGTATAAACTGCCATAGCTCCATTGACTTCAACTGAGCTATGACAATTTACACAAGTTGAGAATCTGAATCATGGTCCCTGCTCCAAAGAACTCAACATCTTAGGTTTAGTGTCTACACACAAAAGTTGTACTACTTTAACTATACCAGTATAGTTAACACAGTACAAAAGACGGTTACTCACCGTTGTAACTGTTGTTCTTCGAGATGTGTTGCTCATATCCATTCCAGTTAGGTGTGTGCGCGCCGCGTGCACGATCGTCGGAAGATTTTTACCCTAGCAACACCCGGTGGGTCGGCTGTGGAGCCCCCTGGAGTGGCGCCGTTATGGCGCTGGATATATACCCCAGCCGACCCAGCGCCCCCTCAGTTCCTTCTTGCCGGCTACTCCGACAGTGGGGAAGGGGGGCGGGTTTGGAATGGATATGAGCAACACATCTCGAAGAACAACAGTTACAACGGTGAGTAACCGTCTTTTCTTCTTCGAGTGCTTGCTCATATCCATTCCAGTTAGGTGACTCCCAAGCCCCACCTAGGTGGCGGGGTCGGAGTGAGACATTGCTGTGTGCAGAACCGCTGACCCGAAAGCAGCATCGTCTCTGGATTGTTGCACCAGCGCATAGTGAGTAGCGAATGTGTGGACCGATGACCACACTGCAGCTCTACAAATGTCCTGGATCGGTACTTGAGCCAGGAAGGCAGTCGAGGAGGCCTGGGCCCTCGTGGAATGGGCGGTGATGCGTGGCGTCGGAACACCGGCCAGGTCGTAACAAGCACGAATACAGGACGTGATCCAAGATGATAGGCACTGTGAAGAGACCGGTGAGCCTTTCATCCGGTCGGCCACTGCAACGAAGAGTTGCGTCGTCTTCCTAAATGGCTTTGTAAGGTCAATATAGAAAGCCAGGGCCCTGCGAACGTCTAAGGAATGCAAACGCTGGTCTTGACGAGTAGCGTGCGGTTTCGGATGGAAGACTGGGAGGAATATGTCCTGGTTTACGTGAAAAGGTGAGACCACTTTTGGAAGAAAGGCAGGGTGGGGGCGAAGCTGCACCTTGTCCTTGTGGAACACCGTGTAAGGGGGCTCGGATGTCAGCGCCCTGAGTTCCGAGACGCGTCGTGCTGAGGTGATGGCTACGAGGAAGGCTGTCTTCCAGGATAAGTACAGGAGTGAGCAGGTCGCCAATGGTTCAAACGGAGGCCCTGTGAGCCTGGAGAGGACGAGGTTGAGGTCCCACGTCGGAACCGGCTGCCGTTGCTGTGGGTACAGCCGGTCTAAGCCCTTGAGGAATCTAATGACCATCGGGTTAGAGAAAACCGAGGACGTGAGTTCTCCTGGGTGGAAAGCGGAAATAGCGGCGAGGTGAACCTTGATTGAGGATGTCGCCAAGCCTTGCTGTCTTAGGGACAGGAGGTATTCCAGTATGCAGGGGATAGGTGCCTGCGAGGGAGAAGTAGCTCGTTGCTCACACCAACAGGAGAACCGCTTCCACTTGGCTAGATAAGTGGTCCGCGTAGAGGGCTTTCGACTTCCCAGCAGAACCTGCTGGACGGCCTGCGAGCACTGCCGCTCTGTCCGACTCAACCATGGAGCATCCACGCCGTAAGGTGGAGAGACTGTAGGTCGGGGTGACACAACCGGCCGTGATCCTGGGAGATGAGGTCCCGACTCAAGGGGAGTGTGATCGGCGTTCGTACTGAAAGCTCCAGCAGTGTGGTGTACCAGTGCTGCCTCGGCCAAGCGGGGGCGACTAGAATCACCCGTGCATGATCCCTGCGGATCTTGAGCAGTACCCTGTGGACCAGCGGAAATGGAGGGAAGGCGTAGAGCAGGTGATCCTTCCATGTTAGAAGGAAGGCGTCTGACCGGGAGCCCGGGGCTCGCCCGTGCAGGGAGCAGAATGCCTGGCACTTCCTGTTGGCCCGAGATGCGAAGAGGTCGACCTGGGGAAATCCCCACCTCTGGAAGACGGAATAGATGACGTCCGGGCGAATCGACCACTCGTGTGTCTGGAAGGACCTGCTGAGACGGTCCGCCAGCGTATTCTGGACTCCAGGAAGGAAGGATGCCGTGAGATGTATCGAGTGGGCGATGCAGAAGTCCCACAGGCGAATGGCCTCTTGGCATAGGAGCGATGAGTGGGCTCCGCCTTGCTTGTTGATGTAAAACATGGCCGTGGTGTTGTCGGTGAGGACCAACACGCAACGGCCCTGTAGGAAGTTGAGGAATGCCTGGCAAGCTAGGCGCACCGCCATCAGCTCTCGGACGTTGATGTGGAGGGCTAGTTGGGCCACGGACCACAGGCCCTGGGTATGGTGCTCCCCGAGGTGAGCGCCCCATCCTAGAGATGAAGCGTCCGTGACTAGGTGGAGGGAGGGTTGTGGGGCGTGAAAGGGCACTCCTGCACAAAGCGCCGTACGATCCGTCCACCAGGTGAAGGAGGCCAAGACCGAGGCCGGAACCGTGACCACCATGTTCAGGTCGTCTCAATGAGGACGGTAGACCGATGACACCCAAGCCTGCAGTGGGCGAAGTCGTAGCCTGGCGTTCCTGGTTACGTAGGTGCACGAGGCCATGTGGCCCAAGAGGGCAAGGCATGTTCTTATGGTGGTGATTGGAAAAGTCCTGAGTCCTTGAATGACGCTTAGGATGGTATGAAAGCGGCTGTCTGGCAGGATGGCTCGGGCACGTTTGGAGTCCAGGACTGCCCCAATAAACTCTATTCTCTGAGTTGGTACCAGAGTGGACTTTTCTCTGTTGAGTAGAATGCCCAACTCGTGGAAAGTGTGTGTCACCATGCGGACATGAGCCTGCACTTGGTCCCTGGTGCGGCCACGTACCAGCCAGTCGTCCAAGTACGGGAACAGCTGTATCCCTTGTCGACGAAGGAAGGCCGCGACGACAGCCAGACACTTTGTGAACACTCTGGGAGCCGAGGACAAGCCGAAGGGAAGGACTGCAAATTGGTAGTGCACTGTGTTTACTACAAATCGCAGGAAGCGCCTGTGAGGCGGATAGATCGCTATATGAAAATAAGCGTCCTTCATGTCGAGGGCGGCGAACCAGTCTCCAGGATCCAGTGAAGGGATGATGGTCCCCAATGACACCATGCGGAACTTCAACTTTACTATGAATTTGTTGAGTCCGCGCAAGTCTAAGATGGGCCTTAGACCCCCTTTTGACTTGGGTATCAGGAAGTAGCGGGAGTAAAACCCCCTGCCCCTTAGCTCCGATGGAACCTCCTCTATGGCCCCCATAGCGAGGAGCCCAAAAACCTCCTGTGTAAGGAGTTGCTCGTGAGAAGGGTCCCTGAAGAGGGACGGGGAGGGGGA